GAAAAACAAACCTTTTACTCTGCTATTTTCAATAAACAAGTTTGTGACTTTCTTTTTACGTTATTCCGAGTCAGAGGTACAATGGAGGGCCTATCACGAATATTAATCCCAAATTTCATATCTATACGTTCTAATGCAGAATTCGGGATTATTCTAGCGTTAGTGACTGAATAATCTAAATTTTATTAAAGACAGGAGGCGAATATTTGCTTTAACCTTCTTTACTGAACCTCCCAGCAGCAAAGAAATAGTTAAACATATAGAGAAAAAATCAACCAATCAGGACACATATTAGAACATAACAGTCTGTCAGGCTCCTCCCAAATCCTCTTTCTGATGCAGCCGATCATAAGTGTAGTCAACCGTGTAAACTTGAGTAATCCATCAACCATGTAAACCAGAACGCAGCCGATACTAGAGACCAAAGGAACATAGTCTTCGTGGCTCATGTAGAGAAACTTCACACCAAAAGACAGAGAAAGATCGTGAAAGTATGGTCACTTGGACTGGGTGTCCGCAAGATATCTACATTTACAGATCTACCCCCTGGATATTACGAGTATAACTATTGCAAAATGTAAAATAATCAGAACCAGGCAGATTGATAAGCACCTAAACAGAGCAAACAAGAAAAACAGTCAGATAAATATAAAGTCTCACAAGAAACCTAGAAAAAATTTTAAGAGTACATGTGATCTGAAAAAAATCTGGGTGGGAGAGCAATAGGGTGGGAAAATATTCGCCTCCTGTCTTTAATAAAATTTAGATTATTCAGTCACTAACGCTAGAATAATCCCGAATTTTATGGCAAGACAGGAGGCTTCATATTTGCTGTTTTAAAGCGTGGAAACCAAAGAAAAAGAAGCATGGGACGATTGTCGAAAATAGAAGGTACGGAAGGTAGATTCTCTAGACCAGTGATGGCGAACCTTTTTGAGCCCGAGTGCCCAAACCGCAATACATGCCAACATTTTTTCTCCTTAAAGTGCCAACACGGCAATTAAACCCAAATACTGAGGTTTAAGTTTAGAAAAAAACAACTCGTACTGTTGTCCGAACTAATAACTTTTGTTTTAAAAGAACACAGAGAGTTCAGTGATACAAATTTTAAATAATGATATAAATAGATAAAATTAAGCTTATATTTATTAGTATCTCCAACAAATGCAATACATACACAGACAGACTGCTGAATACATACACACAGTCTGCTGAATACACACACACACAAGACTGCTGAATACAGAGACTGCTGAGTACACATACAGACAGACTGCTGAGTACACACACACACACAGACTGCTGAGTACAAACACACACACACACAGACTGCTGAGTACACACACAGACTGCTGAGTACACACACACACACTGCTGAATACACACACACACACTGTTGAATACACACACACACAGACTGCTGAATACACACACACACAGACTGCTGAATACACACACACAGACTGCTGAATACACACACACAGACTGCTGAGTACACACACACAGACTGCTGAGTACACACACACAGTCCACTGAATACACGCAAACACACACAGTCCACTGAATACACGCAAACACACACAGACTGCTGAATACACACACACAGACTGCTGAATACACACACACAGACTGCTGAGTACACACACACAGTCCACTGAATACACGCAAACACACACAGTTCACTGAATACACGCAAACACACACACACTGCTGAATACACGCACACACACACACCGCTGAATACACACATACTGCATTGAGGTGGGGGGTGCGTGTGTGTGTGAGTGTTGTATGTGGGGGGTGCTGTGTGTGTGTGTGGGGGGGGTGCTGTGTGTGCTATATGTGTAAGGGTGCTGCGGAGGGGTAGGGGTACTGTGTGTGGGGGGTTGGGGTACTGTGTGTGGGGGGTAGGGGTACTGCTGGGAGGGTAGGGGTACTGTGTGAGGGGGTAGGGTACTGTGTATGGGGTAGGGGTACCGTGTATGGGGGGTAGGGGTACCGTGTATGGGGGGTAGGGGTACCGCTGGGGGTTAGGGGCACTGTGTGGGGGTTAGGTACCCGTGTGTGGGGGGTAGGGTACCTGCTGGGGGGTTAGGGGTACCGCCGGGGGTAGGGGTTACCGCCGGGGGTGGGGTTACTGCTGGGAGGTAGGGCTACTGCAGGGGTAGGGGTACCGCTGTGGGGGTAGGGGTTACTGCTGAGGGGTAGGGGTACTGCTGGGAGGGTAGGGTTACTGCTGGGGGTAGGGTGCTGGGGTTAGGGTTCTGCTGGGGGAGTAGGGGTTACCGCTGGGGGTAGGGTGCTGGGGGTTAGGGTCCTGCTGGGGAGGGTAGGGGGTACTGCTGTGGGAGAGTAGGGGTTACTGCTGGGGGGGTAGGGTGCTGGGGGGTTAGGGGTTCTGCTGGGGAGGGTAGGGGTTACTGCTGGGGGGTAGGGGTACTGCTGGGGAGGGTAGGGGTTACTGCTGGGGGGGTATGGGTGCTGTGTCAGTATACCCCCCCTCCCTCCTTCTTACCTTTAATGAAGTAGGGGGGGGAGACACACAGCGATCCCTGGTGGTCCGGTGGTGGTAAGCACTGCAGGGGGAGGGCTCCAGGAAGCAGCTCCCCTGCCTCCCGACCCGGAAGCAGAGTAGGCGCCTGCCATTCCGGGCAGGCAGGCGCCTACTCTGCATTGATGGCGAACCTGTGGCCGCGTGCCCACAGAAAGGGCCCGGCGTGCCACCTGTGGCACGCGTGCCATAGGTTCGCCATCACTGCTCTAGACCAATCAGCGCATTTTAGGATGTCTGCAAGGGATCCCCCAGCTATAAAGGCGGAAGAGGCAGCAGTGCCTCTGACAGAATGAGCGCCAAAAGATGAATCTATGCCCGCTGAATCTAGAAGCCATTTAATCCGGCGGGCAATCGTGGGACAAGACACTGGCTTGTGTGGTTGCACATATTAGATAAACAGGGGACCCGTAGGGGGACGTAGAGGCGACGTAGTGTTGGACACAACGAGCAACGCAAAGCGATGGTCTGTCGGAAAAATAAAGGTAAGTAATCGTTAAGGAATTAGTTTTAGTGCGCGAGAAATGTTGAAACATACACCTTGGGGCGTGAATTCAATAGCGTGAAAGTCAAATGCCTGAATATCAGAGACTCTCCTAAAAGAAACCAAGCAGAGGAGAAAAGCTACGACAGTTGTCGTAAAGAGAGTGCTTCATTGGGTGGCCAAGTCTCTAGGAAGGGCAAAACAAGAGCAATATCCCAAAAATGAGAATATTTTGGGACAGGAGGTCGAGCAAGACGAATGCCACGCAACAGTCTACAGATGGAGGGGTGTTTACCTATTGCTGTATTATCAATGGGGCCATGAGCTACCGAAATTGCTGAACGAAACACATTAATGGATCTGTAGGATTTACCTTGATCAAAAAGAGAGGACAGAAAGTTCATGACGTTAATCAAAGAAGCTGAAACGGGATCAATACACCTTTCCAAGCACCAGCGATGCCAAACTCGCCAGGCTGAGAGGTAAGAGCGTCTAGTCCCGGGGGCCCGTGAGTCCCATAAGAGTGCTCTAGCAGTCTCCGAAAGTCCTGCGGCATTCCAGGATCCCCTGAAACAGTCCAGGCCACTAGCTGGAGATGACCCTGCAACGTAAGAGGGTGAAAATTGCCTGCGGGATCTTTGAGAAGATCGTGCGTGGCAGGTAGCAGTAGTGGATAATTCACCGACATCTCCAAGAGATTGGGGAACCATGGCTGGGTATGCCACAATGGGGTCAGCAGTGTTATTGTGGCCCCCTGAGTCCTGAGATGATGCAGAGTGTGAAGGATCATGGAGAACGGAGGGAAGGCATAAGCGCCGGTCATTGGCCAAGATTGAAGGAAGGCATCTACTGCCAGAGAGGTCGGATCCGGCAACCAACTGAAAAAAGTGTCCGTCTGTCGGTTCAGACGAGATGCAAATAGGTCGATATTGAATGGACCCCGAAGAAGATGGAGACGGTAAAAAACGTGTGGGTCCAATTGCCAGTCGCTGGAGTCTCTCCAGTGTCGAGAGAACCAATCTGCGGCTAAGTTGTCGGAACCCGGTAGATACTCCGCTCGCAGGGAGATGTTCCTGTCCAGGTTGATAACTGGTCGAAAGTCCCCTGACTGTTTTCGGACCAGAAATATGTTGCTTATGAATCTGTGAGGGGACCGAGAACGTTCTATAGCGCCCTTGGCGACAAGGTCGTTTAGCGCGGCCTCCAAAGTCGCATTGTCCTCTTGAGACATGTGCAGAGGTGGAGGGGGGAACTCTTGTAGAGGGTCGTTTGCAAAATCTATATGGAAACCAGATACAGTTTGAAGGATCCATGGATCCTGAGTTAATAGAGACCACTGTTGGAAAAAAAGGGTTAGCCGACCTGCAATAGGAACTTGAGAATAAGGAAAGTCGATTACCTGAAGCAGTGCGGCCCCGGAGGGAAGCATATCCACGTCCTCTGATGGAACGTCTAGAGGGAAAGAACTGCTTGTGGTAGAAACGGGTATTGCCCGAATTCCATGAGTCTGCTGGTTGAGGCCTGTAGCCTGTGAAGGCAGCTCTGCCAGTCGTTCGGCCCCTATAGCGACCAGCTCTCCCGGAAAAACGCTGGGGTCTGAACACCCTGCGAAGGTTCCATTGTGCCTTGTTAAGGGAGGTAAACACGGATACGTGTTTATTCAGGTCTCGTATGAACCTGTCCCCGAATAATAGTCAGTTAGCCTCTGGAGCAAGTTCTTTGGTGCCTAGTTCTGCCAATTTGGCATCAATTTTATATAACATGGCTTTACGCCGTTCAACGGAAATAGCTACATTGGCGTTGCCTAACAGGCATAACGCTCTTTGTGCCCATTCACGCACCATGTGTGCGTCAAAATTGCCTCCTGCTAGTGTCTCATCAGCAATTATAAAAATCTGGATAAGCGGGCCTGCTATATCCATCAGCTTGTCCTGGGTGGCTTTTAAGCCAACTTCGATTCCCTTGCGGGGATCTTTACCCATCTTAGTTAGAAAAGTGACCAGGAGTGGGTCAAGTTCAGGGGTGACAGCCACCTTATCAGGGATCATAGGCCGTGGACATTCTGCTCTTAAATTGGGCCTAATCTCCTTTTCTAAGGGTTTACGAAGCCATAATCTGCAATATTTTGCAATGTGATCAGGGGGTGTCCATTCCGCTGAACGAGGGTGTCTGATGCAGCGTGGGTCAAATAGAGGACAACCATTGGTATCCAGTAGGATATCGTCCTTAGTATTGTCTAAATTAGTAGTGGACATAGGGTCAGTGTCCTGAAAGGACTGGGTTTGGGGTAGGAGGAAAGTCTCTGTAACAAATTCAGAAGAGGAAGGGTCACCTGGGAGATCCTCCTCTGGATACGCATTGTATTCGTCTATCACTCGTAGGTGATAGCCAGAGGTTGAGTCCTTTAAGAGGTCAGATTCTGAGGTCAAAGTGCGTTTGGCATGAGACAATTTAGCTGTCTTTGCTGGGGCTTTGCCTTTGCCAGCAGAAGCACTGTTACCCTTCCACGGGCGTTTACGTGGGGCTTCGTCATGGTCAGAGACCCTGGAATCATCAGAGTCTGACAATTGCGAGATGGTGGCAGTAGTGGCTGTCTGGTCACAAAATGCTGCCACGGCTTTGGGGATAGAGTCTGCAATTGCAGCTTGAAGCCAGGCTTTTAATTCTGCTGACATTGCAGGTTCTGGTTGGTCCGACATGGTGACCAGTGAAATAGTAATGGGTTCACCACAGAATCAGTATACCAAAAGGTATATTAAACAACTTTTATATAAATTTTTTTTTTTTTTTTATTATATATATTAACAAACTTTACACAAAACAAGTAAAAGCAGGGGCTGTCTTATTGGGGTTCACCCAGATAATATGCAGTCACCTTTAAGGGGACCAAGTGGGGTTCATCCACAATTATGGCAGTTAAACTGTCAATATAATAATGACAGGGGTAACCTGTGCAAATCAATAAAATATATAAGGGGTTCACCCTGAGAGATAAGGCACGAGGGGTCACCCTCAATAAAGAGGCACAAGGGGATCACCCTTAAATCAAAAAGGCAAGAGGGGGTCACCCTCTAATAGGCATAGAGCTGTATAGTATAGTTTGAGAGCAATCTGCAAATAAAAACACAAATAGGCTAATATAAGCAAGTGTTCTGTGTAATATTCAGATGTAATAACAAAATGTACCAGCAGGGGGCAATTAAACTTACCGTCTAACAGAGCTGCAATCCAGTATCAGAGAGCTGTTCACCGAAAAAGCGCGCGAACGGAAACTAACCGCCGAACAGAAGATGGCCGCCGGCATAGAAGGAGGAAGGCGGGAAACTGCGTGTCAATCAAATGAAGCGAAAAAACGGGCGGTACGGAAATAGATCGCCGGCGTGATTAAAACGAACCGCAGCCACAGCAGTGGCGCGGTCTGAAGATAATTTCACCAAGGAAAAGGTTATTAAGGTTTTACTACAAAAAAACCCAGTCAGTCATAAATAAAAAGCACAGGGAAGGTGAACAGTGGGCTGACCTGTGAAAAGGTCTATGTGGTAAAGGGCACAGATAAAATAAACACACACATTACCCCATGGAAATAAAAGAGACAGGGAAAGTTAATTAAAGGAGTCAAAAAATATATGGAAAAAAACAAAATAAGGTAGGTCAATAATATATATTAGAGAGCTATAATTGGAATAGACTCACCCGGGAGGCAAGCAGCAAAGAAAGAGGAGTTGGGAGGAGCCTGACAGACTGTTATGTTCTAATATGTGTCCTGATTGGTTGATTTTTTCTCTATATGTTTAACTATTTCTTTGCTGCTGGGAGGTTCAGTAAAGAAGGTTAAAGCAAATATGAAGCCTCCTGTCTTGCCATAAAATTGGGAGGCAATGCCTCGCTACATTTTTCATTGGGTTCTAAAGCTTTCTTAACTTGCGGCCAGTTATCTATCGTTGTCTTTTTCCAATTTCTGGCAATAGCTATTTTAAAAGCCATCAATGCATGGATCAGAAGATATTTCTTCTCTTTTGATATTTGAGGTAATTTTAGATGTAGCAATATTGTTTCAGGTGTCCAGTGATATGTAATACCCAACAATTTATTAATTTCTGATAAAATCCGATCCCAGGCTCTCCTAATCGGTTTGCAATTCCACCATATATGTATTTCTTCTGCTCCACACCTCCAACATTTCCGAGTGTCCGACTTAGAGAATTTACCTAATTTGGCAGGAGTCAAAAACCACCTATTCACCAATTTATGGTGGGCTTCCATGATATTTAAACACTGGGCTGAGGAGTAGACAGATTGAAGGGACGCATTCCACTCTTTTATGTTAGTTGTTATGTGTAAGTCTTTTTCCCATCTGCATTTAGCAGGAGGGAGATTCTGAATTTTAACAGTTTTTTTGATATCCACACATTTAGTTAGTAACTTTTCAGTTTTCTCATTTTTCATTGGCTCATTTAATTTAAAGACAGCAGATGTCCCGTTCAGATAACATATAGAGCTGTACAAAAAAACTTTTTATTCTAATGAGAAACGCAGAATTTCTAATAGCAAGACTTGAAAATTTTTTTTGTTATATATATCATGTACTCATTTTGAAATCTTACAAATAAAGAAAATCAAGATTATTTATTAAAAGTGAGAATGGTTGGTAATTAACAGTAAATTAAAAGTTTATTTCAAATTTAATTTGGTTGTTCTGATGAGTAGAGTCAGTCCCTGCAGGCTCTTTGCAGTAAACACTTACTTTTCAGAGAAAAGGCAGTGTTTACGGTACAGTATAGGAACACCTCTAGTGGCCACTCCACGTTTGTCCCCAGCTACAGCGCCATAGCTAAATTGCTCACTGACCTAACCCACAAAACACCTACCCCGACAGGTAGCTTGGACCCCAGAGTGTGAGCAGGCGTTCCAAGCCCTCAAGGATGCCCTGGTAAAAGGCCCATGTACTGGCCGCTCCTAATCCCAGGACACGTTTTTCTTGTCCAGACAAATGCCTCCATGTTCGGATTGGGAGCCTTACTGAGTCAGGTCGGGGACGATGGCGTAGAACACCCCGTAGCTTACCTCAGCAGGAAGCTATTACCCAGGGAGGTGAGCTACGCCGCCATTGAAAAGGAGTGCCTGGTGGTGGTGTGGGCCCTCAAAAAAATACAGCCTTATTACTATGGACAAAAATTTACCCTGCTCACGGATCACAACCTGTTGGTATGGCTTAACCAGGTCTCTAGGGACGATGCCAGGCTGTTACGGTGGAACCTGGCCTAAAAACCGCATGACTTTACCATCCACTACAGACCCAGCACGCAAAATGGCAATGCCGACAGGCTTTCCAGGCAGACCGCCCTGGACAAGTGTTCCGTTGCTGCTACCCAGAGACTTCTGGGAAGAAGACCCCTGGGAGTGGACACTAAGTGGCGGGAACAGGGGACACAGGGACTGGAGTTCTGTTTCCGCCAGGGGACCCTGGGTGTGGGAAGGCCCTGGGAGGGGACACTGAGTGGCGGGAACAGGGGACAAAGAGACTGGGGTTCCGGTTCCGTTATACGCCCCCAGTCGGGGGAGGACCCAAGGACGGGACATTGTTCCACCTCTTGCATGGGGAAAGTATAAAGCCGTGTGTGGCCAATAAAGCTGCTGTTGTACCCCAGTTGTCCAGTTACTGGGAGGGAAATGGGTCGGTTCAGTTATTAATAGCGGAGGTAACCAGCTGGGTTACCCAGGGTCCGCTACAATGATCTCAGCCAATCCAATGCTTTCCTATGGGATATCATTGTGATTGGCTGAGGTCATCAAGGAGGCAGGGCCAAACACCACCCTAGCTAATCAGCATCTCCTAACAGAGTGTTCAGCTTATCGATGCAGAGACGCTGAATGGCAGTGCTACATGTTGTACAAGGAACGTATACTCCTTAGTCAAGAAACAGAATCAGCTATGCTGTTAGAAGGGAAAGTGTTATACCTGGGGCACAGGGTCTAAGAAATGTAATTACCTTACTGTCTATCCCAGGATAATCCCATCATGGGGGATGGGACTAGGTGACAGGTGCTGCACTTTGCATATGCAAATTCACACAGACAATTAATTTGCTCTGTTTGTTTTTATCCAATACTGGATTTACTGGTTTTTACACATCCCAATCAATAGACATTGTCTGCCTGCCTTGTCTGTAATCTGATCTTGCACATCAATTTGTTAAACAGCCCAGAAAGACTAGATACTTTGTAATACGGCAATTGCTTATTTTAAATGTTATTATATAGCTTCTTTTCTAAAATAATACACATGCACAATTATTATAAATTAAAACAAAGTGCACATTAAATATAATCAGGGTTATTCACTAAATACCAAAGTTTAGTAACCTAAATTAAAATGGCAAAATTTCTGTTACAATAGCTATGTTGTTAAAATAAGTCAGTTCAGGATTTTTTGCTAAATCAGGAGTTTTGGCTTCAATGTTACCATTGGGATATAATTCACTAAGATTCAGTGTTTGATGAATGCTGACTAACCCTAAATTGATAATATACAATTATTGAAAATGTGTACTTGCAACAAGAGACAGTACATTTCAATAAATACATTTATTGCATTAAAACATAGCAGTCTTGCAAGTATGATATGCAGCTATAAAGTGTGCTGAATATGTTATATTCGTTTGTAGATTGTATATATACATCATGCTGATGCAGTCCTGAGGAAAGTCCCATGGGACTGAAACGTCGACCTGTTTTGGCATCACTGTATCCACTTTAACATGTGAACATTTTAACCACAAAGGAATAAACGCTACCTTTTAAACCGAGACCGTGAGTGCAGACTATTACATTCTATTACTACATATGGAAGGCTGGGCCTGTAGTAGTGGGAGGGGCATGATTTCCCTACTTAAGGATTGCCAGACCCCTCCTCATTAACGTTGTTGGTCTGGCGATTTGCATGCCTGGACTTCTGGCTGCAGCAGATCGCCATTTTGCTAACCTTTCCTTGTGGATATCTTACCTGCTCTTAGAGTGTCTGCCCGTTCATGGTTCGGGTAGGAACAGTGAGTTGGTTGACCTTCGCGACCCTGCCGCAGATGCACAGCGTCATCACGGGCCAACTCTATTCTCATACTTACCTCGTATTCTTTGGCTTTTGCTAGGTTGCGTTCACCCGTTCGGACTTCAGTTCGTTCGCACGAACGTTACTTA